TGGGCTCAAAATTATAACATTTACAACGTAAATTAGATTTTGTAATCTGAACTTTAGGAGTTAATATAATAAATATTATGCAATAAGAAAAAGCCCTTTGATTTCTTGAGTGAGATTCTTCATTGTAAGACTTGAAATGGTCTTTCAAGGGAAAATGGGCAAACTTATAAATATTATATCATAATAATAATAATAATAATAATAATGCAAAATATTGGTCTCTGTTCTGTTCTGGATCAATTGCAAAAATACCCTTAAATAATACATTTGATTTCAGCCATTACCCCCACTCAGGAAAAAAACAATAACATCATATATACCCTTATAAATGTAGATTCCCTATAATACCCTTTATTTATTTATATAATATTATAATATATTAAAATAAATAAATATAGATATACTTTTATCCCACTTTCTCTCTCCTCTCTGACGTTGTTTTTCACCTGCATCGTTTCTCTCTCTTCGAGCCTTTTTCCTTCTCTCTCTTCGAATTTCTCTTTTCCGACGCGATTTTTTGGCAAATTCGATGTGAGAAACAAATGAAATCTACAAGAATCTCATCCAATAAGCATAGTGGGGAACATGAAAGGGAATGAAAAATTAAAGATGCCAAGAGTGTGATATTCCTTTTTCGTGAATGTAATGACATTATCAATTCATATTTGTACTAAATTGACTGGTGTATTACATTGTAAATACAGTCGTCAAACAGGTCAAACTCGTCAAACTCAACGAAACTCGTCTCTCGTAAAACTCGTAATACTAATCAAACTCATAAAACTTGTCAAACTAGTCAAACTCGTAACACCCATTTGGGGTTTCATGTTTATTTCAGTGTTTGACTAGTTTGGCGAGTCAACGCGGTCAAATGATGGTTTAAGTTACATGGTATATATAGGGCTATTATGACATTAATGTGTTTTTGTTATTCGTAAAGCATTCGAGAAAATGATAAATTCTACCATAAGCCAATGTGTTACATAAAATGTACTAGAACATTTAGGTTTTGTTTCGAAGAACATGCATTGTTAAACAAAATAAGGTGTTAAATTTAGAGAGATGCGATTATTTATTACTTATGAAATTTGTTATATGGGGTGTTTATTAACATGTTCATGGTTTAGAATTGATAAATTTTCCAAATCCGAGAGTTTGACGAATTCCACGAGTTTGACGAGTCAACGCGGTCAAATGGTGGTCGAAATTACATTTCGAAAGTTCAACGTTGTGTATAGGGGCTATTATGACATATTTAACGTGTTTTTGTTATTCGTAAAGCATTCAAGAAAATGATAAATTCTACCCTAAGCCAATATGTTACATAAAGTGTACTAGAATATTAGGGTTTCGTTTGAGAGAACATACATTGTTAAACAAAATAATGTGTTAAATTTAGAGAGTTGCGATTATTTTTTACTTATGAAATTTGTTATATGGGGTATTTATTAACATGTTCATGGTTTGAAATTGATAAATTCGCCAAATCCGAGAGTTTGACGAGTTTGACTAGTTTGACGAGCTTGGTTGTAAAAGGCGCGGGGCGTCACGAGACGCAAAAGGTCCAAAAAACTGAGGCGTGAGGTGTGAGGCGGAGGTGCACGTGAGGCACCTATCATTTTTACATCAATATATATATATATATATATTATAGTTTAGGTAGTATAGATTATATACTAACTATATCAACATAGATTATATAATTTAGTTAGTATAGTATGCTTATTATAAAATTTACAATAATATAAATAAAATTAAAAAATAGAATGATAGATAAATATTATTTGTTTAGATAAAAAAATTAACTTTTTAAATATCACCAATGCATATATATATATATAATGAATCTTATCATTTAATTTCTATAGTATATATATATATATATATTTAAAAAGAAGAGTCTTAGTGGACGCCACTTATTTCTTAAATTTAATTAAATGATTCCCTCCACATGCCTTTCTCAAGAAGGCTCTCCCACACGCCCACGTTTTCTCCTTCTTCAATTTTCATCATTTTTTTTTCAGAAAATTTGATTTTTCTGTGATTGCACCGCACCATATCTCAGAGGTGCGCGACTCACGCCTTGTACGGAGTGCACAGAAAGACGTGCCTAAGACCGTTTCCTGTATTTTGCCTCGCCTCCAAGTCTGGAGGCGATTTTCTTATCGTCTATACGCCCCCACCGCCTAGGCACGCCGTAGACGCGCTTTTTTAAATTAAGTTGATGAGTCAACGCAGACAAATGGTAGTCGAAATTATATTTTGAGGGTACAATATTGTGTATAGGGGCTATTATGACGTATTTAACATGTTTTTGTTATTTGTAAAGCATTCGAGAAAATGATAAATTCTACCACAAACCAATGTATTACATAAAGTGTACTAGAACATTAGGGTTTCGTTTGGGAGAACATGCATTGTTAAACAAAATAAGGTATTAAATTTAAAGAGTTGCGATTATTTTTTACTTATGAAATTTGTTATATGGGGTGTTTATTAACATGTTCAGGGTTTGAAATTGATAAATTCGTCAAATCGAGAGTTTGACTAGTTTGACCAGTTTGACGAGTCAACGCGGTCAAAGATGGTCGAAATTACATTTCGAAGGTACAACGTTGTGTATTCGGGTTATTATGACGTATTTAACGTGTTTTTGTTATTCGTAAAATATTCGAGAAATTTATAAATTCTACTCTAGGCTAATATGTTATATAAAGTATACTAGAAAATTAGGGTTTCATTTGGGAGAATATGATGGTTGTGATGCTCTATGATGATCGTACGATATGAGAACATATGTATTATAATGAATTCATTGGATGAATGCATTGTTTGTTCATTGTTTATTTTGCATATTTGATAAATAATGACTGTTGGTTGTAATGCTCTAGGATGTTCCGTGATATGACATTTTGATATTGTATTGATTCATTGATTTATGAATGCGTTACATTCCGTTATATGATTGGCATGTTTGTTATATTTCGGTATCCTTGAATCATTATAGAATGATTCTAAACTCCCTGGTCAGTTATCATTGTGGGAACAATGATGAATTAAGACTAGCATGAGGTGTGATCGATGCATTGGATGCATATCACAATCATGGGTACTCGTTGTGAACGAGTGACTGGGTGACCCGCATGAGATTGTCACATGGACAGAGTCATGACTTGAATCTCATACAGCGGTTCGTTCTTGGATCCTCAGACCTGAGATGTCTAGAGTATCTGATATGAGGAGTGGCGTGTCTTGACTGCGTCAAACGTCGTCTTTAACCGGATGATTATAACGGCGTTGATCAGATACGTTCACGAATCATATGGAGATAATAGACATGCAATATGGGACTTATCACCTCCTCAATAGGAGAGATATCGCTGGGCCCTCTCGTGGAAGTCGGACTATGAAAATGCGTGGCCACGCTATAGATGAAGTTGCATATATTTTATTAGTCGATTTGCCAAGACGAGAAAGCGGTTGAACTTGAAGGGTGGCTCAAACCATGCCCTTGTTCAACATATGATATCGTGAGATAAAGGATCAGAACTCGAGCTGTTATTGCCTAGGTTAGATCACCTCTAACTCAATTCAACGTGGGCGGTCATGGCGTCTTGCTAGAGGCTAACCATGACTTGTAGATCAGGAATGGTTCTCGAGGCTGCTGCCACTGCGAATGGGCCTACAGGGTCACACACCATTAGGGATGGACTTATATGTGAAGTATCAGAAAGAT